GGTGCCTATGGGCCGGATTCCCTATTTGAGAAAAGTCCATGGGCCGCATAAGCAATATTTTGTGTTTCCCTTCAGAAACATAACATTTACACAGCATCTTTTTCATGTTGGAAGGGCACCTCCCTCCTCTCTCAATAACTCGCTTTCCCTCTCCCACATCTCTCTCCCCTCCTCCTATTTGTAGCGGCAGGAGCCAGCGGTTGCTAAGGACGGGTGGATAAGGAGATGGGCTTGCCTCTTTGACAGCTCGGGTACACACTGCAGCAACAGCTGGAATTATTTTCACTATCTGCGCTGCATCCTCCCAACCACCAGCTCCTATCATGGGAGGACGTTCACCAGGGAGAGAGGAAGCAGAAGTTGAAATGTTGGAAATGGTTTTGGGCCAGATAAAAATCACCCGCCAGGCCTGATGTGACCCACGGGCCACCAGTTGGACAAAGCTGTTAGAAATTACCATTCCTCTTAAAGCACAAGATGTTTTACACAGCAAGGCTCATAACAACACCTTTTGTGCTTCTCTTAACTTTATCCATTATAATCTCACACTATTAACCAGCAAAGAGCAAGATGCACTGCCTGCCTAAATCAGGATTCATGCCTCCTGCAACTCTCAGCAAAACTGACGAGAAAAAATGTGATGTGACAGCTGAACCACCAAGTGAGGACACAACCAACAGGTCTCACCTCTACTTGCTTACAATTTGATGGGTGATTTGATGCCTTTGCAGGCGTATGAAGTCAAACGAGAGCCCAGAGTAAGGCGAGGCCAGAGTGTGAGGGAATTTCGTGAGAGTGAAAACTGCTATTGTGAGTACATAACCCAATTTGTTGTTGTTATTCAAGTCTTGTTGTTGTAGTTGTTTTAAGTCTTGTGTTATTTAAAATTGCTGATACCATTGGTAATTGGTCTTGTGGGGTAACTTTACAGGGAGCAGCTGTAGCCAATTAAGCCTAGCCAATAACAAATAACTTATTGATTAAATTAACTTATTGATTAATCATTTGATTAGGTGTTAATTCCAAGTCACTGCTGAGCAAATCAGAAACGAGTTGCACCCAGAAAGTATAAATAGGAGATAGCTGCGAGAGCCTCACTTGACCCAAGAGTGAGTTACGTCTGGAGTGAGGCCAGAGTGTGAGGGAATTTGGTGAGAGTGGGAATTAGGTGCAGAGGGGGAAGTGGGGGCAGGCTATATATCTTTGTATCTATATAAAGTTTGTGAAGATGGTGTGGCAGGTAAACTGTGAGGTCTGTCACATGTGGGAGTCAATGGATGGCGCCTTAAGTCTGGGCGACTTCGTCTGCTGCAAGTGTCTGGAAATCAGAGCTCCAGCTGAGAGTAGCTGAGCTGGAGTCTCAGGTGGAGATGCTGCGCAGCATTAGGGATGGAGGAAACTTCCTGGACAGCTTTATCCTGGAGCCGGACACTCCCCTGAGTCCCAAGGAAGACGAATGTAGCAGTGACGGACATAACTGGGTGACAGTCAGGCGGGCAGGCAAGCGTTCCTGAAAGAGCGGCTGAAGAATTCCAGACTTTAGCCTTGTCTGACAGGTATGAAATATTGGCAACCTGTGTGGACAAGGAAATCTGCGAGGAAGATGGGCAAACTGACCCCAACACCCCTGTGCAGGAGGTTAAAAATGTAATTCTTATTGGGGATGAGACAGTTGGGAGGACTGATACAGTTTTCTGTAGCCGTAGCAGGGAGACAAGAAGACTCTGTTGTCTTCCTGGGGCCAGGGTGAAGGATGTCACCGCCGGGCTGGAGATAAATTTGAGGCATGAGGGAGAGGATCCAATCATAATGGTACATATAGGGACCAATGATATTGGTAGGACCAGTAGGGACAAGTTAAGGAGCAAGTTCCGGGAATTGGGAATTAAACTAAGGAATAGAACTGCCAAAGTGATGATATCAGGACACTTACCTGAGCCAGGAGTTAATTAGTATAGGCAAAAGAAGATCATAGATCTGAATGCCTGGCTAAAAGAGTGGTGCGGAGAGCAGGAATTCCAATTCATGGGCCACTGTCACGAGTATTGGGGAAGATGGGAGCTCTTCCAAAGGAATGGGCTCCACCTGAATAGGGCTGGGACAAATGTCCTGGCTACGCGAATAAATAGGTAGAAAGGGCTTTAAACTACTAAGGGCGGGGGGGAGGTAAAAACATAGTATAGTCCACCACAGTTAAACTTGAGATCAACAAAAGCAAGAGAGCAGATTAACAAGGGAGAAGAGCAAAGTGTGTCAAGCAGGGAAAGGAAGTACAGTGATAGAGTGCTGGTGAATAGGGTTAATAGCTGGAAGTCAGAATTAAGGGCATTATATCTGAATGTACAAAGCATTCGTAACAAGATAATGAATTAGTTGCACAAATAGAGACAAACCGGTATGATCTAGTAGCCATCACCGAGACATGGCTACAGGGTGATCAGGGATGGGAACTGAATATTCCCGGCTACGTGGTATATAGGAAAGATAGGTACATTACAGGCAGAGACTGGAGGAATTATAATAGGGGACAAAGACATGGCAGAGTCATTAAACAAGTATTTTTCTACAGTCTTCACCGTAGAAGACACTGGAAACATACCAAAAATAGAGGACCAAGAAGACCAAGAATGTTAGCAAGCAACTTAGGGAGATTAACATTAGTAAAGAGATGGTTCTAGGTAAATTGTTGGGTCTTAAAACCGATAAATCCCCAGGACCGGATGGCCTGCATCCGAGAGTTTTAAAGGAGGTGGCTACTGAGATAGTGGATGGCATATCTATAACCTTCCAAAAGTCTGTGGATACTGGAAAAGTTTCCATTGATTGGAAGACTGCAAACGTAACTCCACTATTTAATAATAATAATAATAATAATAATAATCCTTGCATTTGATATAGCGCTTTTCACGTCGGGAGGACGTCCCAAAGCGCTTCACAGAACACACTGTAAAGTGAATTGACTGTATATTTGTGGGAGAAGGGTGGGAGAGAAAATAGGGAAAACTATAGACCAGTTAGTTTGACGTCAGTTGTAGGGAAATTCTGGAAGACCTGGAAGACCATAAAAAGATTAGGCAGAGTCAACATGGCTTTACAAAAAGGAAGTCATGCTTGACTAACCTTTTAGAATTTTTTGAGGATGTATCCAGCAGGTTGGATAAGGGGGAACCAGTAGATGTGGTATATTTGGATTTTAGGAAGGCATTTGACAAGGTGCCACACAAAAGGCTGTTACTCAAGATCAAGGCCCACGGGATTAATGGGAAAATATTAACATGGATAGAAGAGTGGCTATCGGGCAGAAAGCAGAGAGTAGTGATAAATGGATCATTCTCGAATTGGCTGGATGTAGCTAGTGGAGTGCCACAAGGATCAGTGCTTGGGCCTCAGCTATTTACCATTTACATCAATGATCTGGACGAGGACATTGAATGTAATGTGTCTAAATTCACGGATGATACTAAACTAGGTAGCAGAGTGAGCTCTCAGGATGATGCAAAAAGATTGCAACAAGATATAGATAGGCTAGGGGAGTGGGCAAGTAGTTGGCAGATGGAATTCAATGTGAGCAAGTGTGAAATTATTCACCTTGGTAGCAACAATAAAAGAACAGATTATTTTCTAGAAGGGGAGAAGTTAGATAGTGTTAGTATTCAAAGGGATTTGGGTGTCCTTATACACCAGTCCCAAAAAGTTAGTTTGCAGGTGCAGCAAGCCACTAAGAAGGCGAACAGCATGTTAGCGTTCATTTCGAAAGGTTTAGAATATAAGAGTAGGGAAGTCTTGCTGCAACTGTATAGGGCTTTAGTGAGACCGCACCTACAGTATTGTGTACAGTTTTGGTCTCCTTATTTAAAAAAACAGACTTGCCCTAGACGGGGTGCAGCGTAGATTCACTCGGTTAGTTCCTGGGATGAGGGGACTGACCTATGAGGATAGGCTGAATAAACTAGGGCTGTATTCTCTAGAGTACAGAAAAATTAGGGGATCTTATTGAAACTTATATGATTCTTAAAGGGCTGATAAAGTAGACACTGAGTTTTCCCTGGTAGGACAATCTATAACCAGGGATCACAGTCTTAAAATTAGGGGTCAGCCTCTTAGAACAGAGTTGAAGAAACATTTCTTCACTCAGAGGTTAGTGAACTTATGGAATTCACTACCCCAGAAGGCTGTAGATGCTCAGTCCTTGAACATGGAGTCCTGTAGCTCAGTGGTTAGAGCACTCGCTTTGCAAGTGAGAGACCTGAGTTCAAATCCAGGCAGAGGGCGAAACCTTGGGCAAGTTTCCTTACTCCACACTCCTAATAATAATCCCTCCAAAAAAAACAAAAAAACAATAATAAGTTGGTCATTTTCAATCTACGACTGTTTGTGGGACATTGCTGTGCGCAATTGGCTGCCGCGTTCGCCCACAAGTATAGTCAATTCACTTTACAGTGTGACCTGTGAAGCGCTTTGGGACGTCCTCCCGACGTGAAAAGTGCTATATCAAATGCAAGGATTATTATTATTATTTTATTATTATTTTCAAGGCTGAGACTGATAAGATTCTTGAAAAATAGAGGGATTAGGGGATATGGGGATAGGGCAGGTAATCAGATTTAGGTGAGAAGATCATCCATGATCTTATTGAATGGCGGAGTAGGCACGAAGGGCCGAATGGCCTACTCCTGCTCCTAATTCTTATGTTCTTATACATCAATCCTCCTTTGCCTTTGTATCAAGTACAACCGTTTTTCACATTAACATCTACTGAGCTAACACTTTCAGCAGTGTTACATCAAGGACAGTGCAACAAGATCAGCTACAAAAACAGTGTACCGTTATTAGCGCAGTAGTTTGTAGCATAACTGAGAGCATGGTGGAATTATCTGAGAAGGGGTCATGCACAATACTGATCTCTCTTCAAGCAATGCTCTGGTTTAACCATTGAACTTATTAAACTGCCGAATGATACAATTTCTCCTACTTCAGAATAGTACAGGAATAACACTGTATAGCAGTTCAATGACATGCAGCTTTAGTGGGAGAAAGAAAAACAAATCAAAACTGTTCATTTGAATAGGATCATTAGAGTCCACATGCATGGCGAGCTGAAGCATTGGATACTCTCAACCAAAGCAGGGAGGAATCTTAAGGCTTCATGATGAAAGGCAATAACCTGAACCATAATACCGATAGGTTTGCAAACCAAAAGCTCATGTACTAGTTGCAGACTGGTGCGATTTACTAACCTCTAAATGAGGCAGTTGTTCCAAAATCTCAAATCACTTCCCCAATCTCAGGAATATCTTGACAGGTTAGGATGTGAGTCAGAACAACGATTACATGATTTGTCAATGGGAATGTATGGTAAAGAGGAAGCTCTAGTACGCAGATATGCTTCTGGTCAAAAGAGAAATGAAAAAGGACAGGAAAAGAAAGTGAAAGAGCCAATTCAGTTCAATGCTAGGGTTAAGTATAACACCTCCTCAGAACAATTTTATCTTCCTCTTGAAACACCAACTCTGCATCCAATCAGCAATCTCCCCACTTAATTAATTCTGAAGGGTTTGAGACATTCTCCCAACATGAAAGACGCTACATGTACTGACGCTGTATACTATATTGCATTATTTTCTGAATACAGTATCTGTTGAAACCTTCACTCTTAAGTGGTTTGGAAGTAGCAACCATACTGAGATAGTTGTGAGTGAAATATATGGAATAATTACACCTGTTGATTAACCTCTAGATAAAGAATTACTGTAATTTTTCAATTTCTACCTTAAACTTTCTCTTTGCTAATGTTGAACTTGTGCCCTTATATGTGAGATTTAAGAATTTTTACATTGAGATGTTTTGGTGCCTCTCAACTGAAAAAATGTTTAGCCTAGATTAAAAGGCACTGCCAACATTTACAGAATTTACTGCAAGTATCTGAACCAGTCACAGAGTTAAGTGTTCACCATCACTTGATCAACTTTAAAACTAATCTTATACTTGTGGTTTTAATAGTACACATTCCTTAACCTAAACCTTGTTCAAGGGGTTTAACAGTTTAAAAAAAACATGTAATTACTATGGGTGCAATAATGGAGTTAGTTAACTCCTTCTACAAATTAAATAAAAAATAAATTAACATACTAAAATGTAAAGCTACTGTATATGATATGAACCATGCATTAAATATAGGGGAACCTCACTAATCAGGTCACTCAAGTGACTAGGCAAAAGTGACCTACTTAGTGAGGTGACCAGATTACTGAAACAGGTTTACGTAGGATGAACATAGTGACCTTTAAGATTACATTGGATGAACATTCAACAACCATACTTTGCAATCTCACTAAAATAAAGGCATTGTCACATTTAAAACAGATCTTAGGTCTCATTATTCAAAGTTCACACGAGAAGTTAAAAATCACAAAAAATGTTCATTTCTTGAAGAAAGAGTCCAATGTTGTTTGTCTGGCTGCTAATTTAACTTGCACTGCCTTGGCCTGCAGCTGACCCTCAGCATCAGCCAAAGCCTGCCACACATCTAGTCCTTGATCTAGGCAAAAGTCCTTCACTTGTCCCAGCATACCCAATGCATCAGCATAAGTGAGAGGGGTCTTTGAAGTTTTAGGTTGCTCTTCCTGTTCCTTCTCCTGTGTGTCCTGTTCCTCAGTGTCGCTGGTCCCTTGTAGAAACTCCTCCATTAGACACTCCTTCCCACCAGTGCAGTCATCATCACAAACTGAAAGGCTCCCGTCAGGGAGAGCCCTGAAAACAACACCAGATTCATCCATGTTAGAGATGCCCTTGGGTGCGTAGCCAGCTGTAATCTCTGGGAGTTTCTCCTTCCAGTTGCCAACAATAGCAGGCTCAACGTCACCCTTTTCCCCAGACACGATTGCAGACCCAATGTTGTGTCTGGACTTGAAACGGCCAAGCCAGCCATTTGATGCCTTGAAAGCAGGCTTGCCAAGTGATGCTGCAAAGATGAGTGCTATCTCCTGTATCATAGGGCCAGACACAGGCATGTTGAGGCCACGGGCACGCTGGAACCACTTCCACGTCAGTTTATCAATGTCCTCATACTGAGAGTTCAAACACACACGTTTTCTATCAGGCCGTTGATTTTCTTCAAAAGCTGTCATGTATTCAGCCTTCCTTTTGAGAATGGATCCAACTTGTGTTCTGCCAATGCCATAGATCACAGCTAACTCTCTATGACTTTTGCCCCTACTGTTCTTGATCAAATCCACTCTCTCACGTAATGACAATTCCTTCCGTGGTGGCATGTTTACAACACTTGTCAACAGTCACTAAATCAAAACATCAAAACAAACAATATAAACACAAACCATGTGCTCTGAGTAGGAAGTGAGAGGTACTTAATTGTCGACATCACATTTAATACTTAATTCAATCTCATATAACAGAGACTTTTATAGCTAATACCCATTCAATGCGAAAAATTACCTATTGAGTAGATTACATTTGAAATGTGAAAGAGGGAATAAAAGTTGTTGTCCAGAGAGTTTTAAAGGGATTTCTGATCAACCATACAAGTTAATAAAATATATATCCTTATCTATCAACTCTTACTTGGCCTACTCAGCAGAACTTAACAAGCAAGACTTCTTGACTTCGCACAGCTTTTGATTAAGTAGCACAATAAGAAATATACCCAACAGAACATTTTCAAAATGAAATTGGAATTGTTTCAGGTTAATTGTATTGAAAATATACATAATTCATATCCCACAAGATTAAAATAATTCAAGATCACTGCAACTAGTACGTTAGTTATTGTGCAAACAAAAAAGGTGAATGCTTCTTGTACCCAAAACATTTGATAAAACTGAATTTTCATTCTCAATTTAGGACATGACATTACCGAAAAACAATTCTCCATCTTTCTTGAAAACAAGCATAGCTTTTATGTAATACAGGGATTTTCAACCCATCGTTCCAAAGAAGCACTGCTTTTCGATCGTAACTAACAATTCTGTGTTTTCATAATTTGTGCGTGAGACTTAACAGCGAATATCTGCAAGCATTTGATGACAGGGAGGAGGGTTTCTGATTTTAAGTTAAGCTGGATCCTGTTGGCAACCTCCAAACATGTGTACCTCCAGCAGCAGTCACCAGAACACTAACTGATTATCCCCTTTCCCTATACCCAGGCACTAAAATCCATATGGTGTTGCCCATCCCGGCGGGATGGGGCCTGCAACGTTCTTGGCATATGTCGGAAACTTATCATCACGCTCGAGTATCCAAACCAGAGGGAGAGTTCCACATATACATACCACTTGCACATGGAACTTTCAGGGGGCTATTATCGGGTACCCATCCAAGCGCTGGGATAAATTGCCGCAGCAGAGGTTTAGGTTACTGGAATTTTAAGGTTTTCTTAACTCTCTCGTCAGCTCAGTGGCCGCACTCCCGCCTCTAGGTTGTGGGTTCAAGCCCCCGGGTTGGGACTTGGGGGTCACTCTGTCTAAGTCGACACTCCAATGCAGCACCGGGGGCGGTGTTGCATGGTCGGAGGTGCCATCCTTCGGGAGGAGCTGTGAGACCCCGAGGTCCCATCTCAGCTTCATCTGCTGTTAAGGATCCCGTTACACTTTTCGAAGAGGAAATAAAAAAGAAGGGAGTTTTTCCTCTCCTGGTGTCCTGTGGCCCAACACATAACATTCCCCCAGAAAAAAATGGGTCACTCAGGCCATGGCCTGTGTGTGTGTGTGTGTGTGGGGTGTGTGTGTATGTGGGGTGGGGGCCGCCGCGTTTCGCCCACAAAATACACAGTCACTCCACTTCCTGTCTTATCCCGTGAAGCGCTTCACATCTAAACGCAAGGATTATTATTATAAGAATTATAAATAAATAAAGTGACTAAAAGCTTCAGCTATTAAGCTCAGGTTCTTGCGGTGCGCCTTTCGCTCTCTCTCTCTCTGTCTCTCTCTCTGAAGTCCGCGCGGAGGAACCTTCGTTTTTCCAGAACTTTCCGGCCGCGAAGCGCCAAAAGGAAACCCAGACCCGGGTGGTGGGGGAGGGGGGGGGGGGGGGCGCGGGAGGGGAGACAGCCCCCGGCGGTTAATCGATCGGAAGGCCCTGTTCAGACTCCCCCCACCGCCGGGTCCGTTGCGGCACACGAGAGCGGCCGCACATCGCTCGCGGGCGTCGGTTTACCTGGAAACGCGGAGAGAAAAAGGCGCCGAACGGTCCCGGGATCACAGGCGACGCAAAAGGACAAGGATCCCGCGGAGGGTTCGAAGCCACTTCTGTATATTTTTTTTTGGGGGGGGGGTGGGTTTTTTTTGCGTGTGCGTGTGTGCGTGCGTGGGGGGGGGGGGGGGTTGGTTTCAGATTTCCAGCGTCGGCAGCATTTTGCGTTTCGCGAGGATGACGATTATTGTCATCTTTCTTGGGTCCCGCTCGGCGGCGGCGGGGGGGCGGCGGCGGGGGGGGGGGATTCCGCTCGTTGACGTTGGCTTTCACGTCGCCCGACCACTTAACACGACGGGCAACAAAAAAGGTGGGGAGGGGTGGGGTGGGCGAACTTTCTTTTTGGATTACAATCAGTAAGTACGACCGAGCCCCGACCAACTGTGGTGGTGGTGGTGGGGAGGGGGAGGGGGGGAGAAAGAAGGGCGGAGTTGGGGAACCTTTCGACTGCTTCAAAGACCGGATGAGGGAGTGGGAGGGAGGGAGGGACCACGGCGCAGCTGGAGACTGAAATACTTTTTTTTGTAGCCCAAATATAGCCCAACGTCAAAGCCATTGTTGTCCTCCTGTGTCGGGCAGCGCGGGGTAGGGGAGGGGGGGGGGGGGTGTGGGGCGGGATTTGGCCGATCCGAGGCGAGCGCTTTGGCGACCGTGTCAGGAAAGGTCTTGGGAATAAAACGCGGAAAAAAAAAGCACACGCACACACGCGCACGTTTTTGCAAGGTTTCAGATTTCGAAAGGTTTTTTTTTAAAAAAAATCAGGCGCGCGCCCGAAGCCGTTTTTTTCTCTCTCTCTCTCCGCCTTCACGCCCAACAGCACCCGACGCGCACCTCCCCCCGATTGGGCGCGAGATCGGGGAGAAAGGGGGCGGGTGGGCGGGGCCTGTGCCGGTGCTGGTTGAGTGGCGTGGCGGGGGACCAATGGTAGCGGCAAATGCTGGTGGATGAGGCGGGGGGGGGGGAGAGGGGGAGGGGAGAGAAAGGCGAGGGAGGCGGGATTTCCGGCGGGAGGGTTTGGCGGCTCGAGCCCAGTAGCGACGCTCGCGCTGCGGCGGTTGGTCGGGTGGGCGTGTGGGAGCGGGTAGGCGCGAGCGCGGTATCCAGCGTGAGGGGGGTAAGACCACAGCGGTGGCTCTGGGAGGCAGGCAATGGGGGAGGGAGACGCTCGGATTTTACCAACCCGCCCACGACCAAACAACTAACCAGCCATCCAGCCAGCGTGCACTGCACACAGCTCCGGGCAACGAGGAGGCAGAAGAAAAGGGGAGGGGGGGGAGAAAAAAAAAGACGACAAAGCGAAAGAAAGAAAGAGAGAGAGAGAAGGGAAAAAAAAATCTCCACGCGAAAAAAAAAAGGCGCCTTGGAGGGAATTTATAAAAGTAATTCAAACGAGAAAGAGGGCGAGAAGAGACCCCGCAGCCGCCCCCGTCGGCGCCGAAGTTTCTGTCACAAGAACTTATTGACTTGGTCTGGTCTTCTGCCCCTTCTAGTAGTAACTGTGCGTTTGTTTGTTTGTTTGTGTGGTGGTGGTGGTTGTTGGGAGAGCGGTGGCTTCGCCTTGGGGTTGTGGGAGTTGGACACGGACGGGGATGGTTGGGCTCTCCATTGCCGCTTGAATGATAAGAGTTGGAGCTTTTTATACACAGTTCTATATATATATATATATGTGTGTATTTATATACACACACACACACAATATATACAGTGTATGATATGAACTCAACCCGGATTTTGAGGGGAGATTGAGGAGAAGGATCGAAAGGAACCTCGGAAAGCTCACTCGCTCGGGTTTAAACGCCCTCTCACCGGGAGCGCGGGGCCGGGACACGCCGCCACAACAAAAGGCGAAGCGAAGCGAAGCGAAGCGGTGGTCCGATGCCGCCTCCAAACGTCTGAGCTGCCGAGCGAGTTCTTCGTGTGGGGGGAAGAAGAGAAGTTTGCTCGTTAAGGCGGCGGCGGGAGAATTTTGCACGGCGTCAACGGCAAGGCGAGGAACATAGCGCCGACCAGAAAGGGAGAGAGAAAGGGAGAGAGAGACCGAGAGATCACTTTTGTGCTCCCAAGAGTGCGACACGATCCGGAGAAACTCTTTTGTGGGGGGAAAAAAAAACCCTCCTCGTTCGAGAGATGGAGCCCTGTGTCTGAAGAAACACGGTTTTAAACCGACTGACTACGCTATCCTCGCACGTCTGCGTGTTTGTTTTCTGCCCATCTTTTGACTTGTGTCGAGGAAGTCACTAAGGCTTAGTGAGGTAAGTGCATTTTTTTTTGTAAAATCCCTTTACGATTTCATCTCCAGATTGGCCACTTGTTTTCATGTCGATGTTGGATTGTTTAGGGAAATCAATGTACGGACATCTCAGCAACTTTCATTTCGAAAAACCGTGGTCGTACGATAGGAAGTCTAATTCCTTTTCTCACAATGAGGTCAAATTAGTACGCAGACTTATTGCTCTATTCAATCTCTCTTTTTTAGTCTTCGTTACTGTCTTTTTAATGTGCGGCAGATAACAACAGTGCGGATTCCTGCGTGAGTGAGATAAATTATTCCTTTCTTTGAACCGATTGGAATGTTTTTTTGCGTTTGCCTTAAGTTACGAAGGTTTGATTAGGTTATTTTTAAAAAAAGAAATTAAAATTCAGACATGAACACGGAAGATAGCAATGCTTTGATCGACTTATCTATCAGTTTGAAAACGGTGCTTATTAAACAATACATTCCGGAACATAGAAAAGCCCTGAACTCTTAAAATCGATTCTGCTATGTTATTCTATCCACTGGAACAGACCATAGGGAGATTCACAGAATGTAGTTACGTTTCGAGACTAAAAAACTAACCGAACCCAATACTGTACCTACCTCGTATCTTTAATAAGACTATTGAATTGCAAACAGGAGTGTGAATCCAGAGCTCAATTTCCCTTCCGAACCGGAACGCTGAGGCTGTATGTATAACCCCCCTTTACTGATCCTTTGTTGAGAAGTAGCTGCTTTATACTGTAAAGTGCGAATTTTTGATTGTCTCTGGTTTTCTTTGGACTCTGAGTGATTGCTCAAAAACGTGTCCTGAAATACTCTATAGGAATATTCAGTCCATAATTTGTTAAGATTAAAACTTTTTTTTAGATAAGTGCTCTGTTATCTAACCATTCTCAGGTGAGTGTGTCTCTTTCACGGTAAAATACTTTATACAGTATATATTATCTTAAAACTATAAAGCATTCAGTATTGCCTGAGTGAACTTTTATGATTTCTTTAGGAATTGGTACTTATTGAAAATGTATCCACCTTTTTGTTCACTATGATGTGTGTTAGCTTTACAGAAATTCCTCATGGATTACAAGGTTACAATTATTAAGAATCAGATTATTTAAATCAAATGGTCTGATTTTTGCCAAAAATTAATATAATTCCACATTTGTAGAATTAATTCATCAGATCAAAACAATGCAATGCCAGCTTTTAAATTGATGTCCTTGGCTTTCAATTATTGTATTTAGTGTTCTGATGTGTTTCATGTTGAAATTAGAGACCGAGAACTAACTAAATTTTGTTTAATCAACATTGAGTCCCAAATTCCCAGTATGAAACACAGTGCAACAACCATTAGAACTGTGACTTTAAAAAACATCAATATATTCTATCACATTAGAGTCCTCTTTTCACACAGGTTTCCATATAATAGCATATAAAGGCAGATACCATTGCACCACAGAATGCATACCAGCTCTGTGTGACACAGAATCATGGTTTGTACTGTACAAGTCTGATGGAGTGCATTCATAGTTGTCAATAGTATTCATTTGTCAGCAGATTTTTCTCATTACTCATGCTATTATTTACAAGAAGTTCTAATTAGTAGGTAATTGTACATTACATGGGGAGTCCTGTAGCTCAGTGGTTAGAGCACTTGCCTTGCAAGCGATAGCCCTGGGTTCTATTCCCGGTAGGGCGAAATGTTGGGCAAGTTTCCTTGCTCCACACACCTCGATTTACCTAGCAGTAAGTAAGAACCCGCTTGTTAGTTGATTGGCCAATCGCTTTATTGGGGAAAGTAACCAATCAAAAAAAACCATAATGTTTTTAATAATAGGCAATTTACAATACAATATACTGTAAAGTGAATTGCCTATTATTAAAAACATATTATGTTTTATATTATGTTAAGTGAATTGACTGTATATTTTGTGGGCAAAACGCGGTCGCCAATTATGCACATCAGTGTCCCACAAACTGTGAATTGAGTGACCAAATGACTTATTTATTTTGAAGGAATTATTATCCCCCGGAAAAGCGATCTGCCAGTTGACTAACAACTGGGTTCCCCTTACTGCTAGGTAAACAGAGGTGTAAGGAAACTTGTCCAGCATTTCGCCCTGCCAGAAATCTAACCGAGGTCCCCTTGCTTACTAAGCGAGTGCTCTAATCACTAAGCTACAGGACTCCACTCTAATTTCATCTATTAGAGGGTGTTGGCATGCTATTCAAGTGTAGGAGCCATAACAGTAAGTCAAACATGTCTAGATACCTGCACTTTACGTAGGTGTCAGTGGCTGGAACTTTAATTTATTTTTATTGTTTTGCTGAGACTAGAGGTGGTGAATCCCTTCCACTTGGGCTGAGTTTAGCTAACTCATCATAAATGTGGGATTGAAGCTGAAACTTTGCTTACCTATACAGTTTGCCTTATATTTCTAAAATACTTTTATTTTTAATGCAGTAGGTTGATTTGATGAACCTAGATTAGCTCTGCATATTCAAATAATAATAATTCTTGAATTTGATATAGCACCTTACCACATCATTGAGACATCTCAATGCGCTTCACAGGACATACTGTAAAGTGGATTACGTATTTTGTGGGTGAACTATAACTGATAGTTGCACACAGCAATGTCCCACAAACGGCTGTGGAGTGAGTGACCAATTGTATTTGGAGGATTTGTTGGCCAGGACACCAGGAGAAAATCCCTTTTTGAATAGATAAAAGTAAAATAGATTTTGCTTCTATTTTTGAAATCTTTTGAACAAGAAGATGCTTCCAGCTTCTGTAGGTGGATCTAGTAAATAGGAAGGGCATATACATTCGGTAATTGTGAAGTGGAAAGTGAAAAACATGGTGACAGGACTTGGTCTGATGTACAAGCAAAACAGATCTGTAGATAATTGTCTAGTGTCTCCCCATTCTGCCACCTGTTGCTGTCCAATTTAGTACATATTTTGTTTAGTTTATAAAGTAGTGTAGTTGTTTAATAGACCAATTAAATGACCATATTCAGTACAATGTTCCTATTAGACTGGCAGACAAACTGCATCATAAAGTGTTTTCACAACCCAATTCAAATTTGATCACAACTTTATATTGCACCCTTCATTTAGAATAATGTCTCAGAGTGCTAATTAAACCTATTAACAGAGCTCTGAGCATAAGTAGCATATACATGTGCAGAACTTAGCTTTGTTAAAACTCGGAAACCTCCAAGAGGTAGTCACATCGGCGGCTGCTTGCCTGTGAAACCTCAAATGCAACCTTTAGAACTTCAAATGCAAACCTTAAAAGGTTCTCTAGGGAAACTCCCAATATTTATATTGGTCTTGGTTCTCTTTATTAACGGGATTTTAATAACATTTGTGGTATATTTTGAGAGGTGCTGCTTATCCTCCGATATCGTTTTGAGTGCTCCAAATATATTTGACCATGCTATTTGATGTTACAGCTAAGCCTGATGCTGTCCTCAAGTAACATGCTGCACATATTTTTTCCTGGTTGCTTGAAAGCAATTGGGAGCATTAATTTTGTCTGATTTTGCTCTACAGTATGTTTTGAAATGAAATTAAAATCCAGAATAATAAATTGGAGCATTAATAATAAATTGGAAGTACATGACTCTTGCAAGGAAACTGTATATTTTATGGCATAAATACTTTCGTAAGTAGTTTGATAGCTAATATACTAATATAAAATTGATAGATGAGTGAGTAGTGGTGTTTATATAGCTTTCATCAGAGAGAAAAAAAACTTTCCCATTGAGTGGTTATTTAGATTGTTGCTGAATCTAATATGGTAGAGATGTATTGAAGAAATCACAGTGCAAATAGATTTTTTTGCAGCCTTTTGTAATTTGTAACATCCCTTGCTATTTCTGCTGAAATTGAAACCGTGTTTGGTTTTACCATCAACTAAAGTGTAATGGTTAGGAATGCATAAATGCTACAATGCTTCATCACCAAATTTCTTTCAAGGCATTACCAAATCAAATATTTTTGGCATCATGTAATTATACATTTCTGGAAGAAAGGTGAAAATGCAAGCCACAGCCACTTGTCTGAAATCTCTAAAAGAAATATAAGCCAAGATTGATTTTAAGTGCTCTTGAAGAACTTTACACAAACCGTAATATTGGGTAGTGAAGACAAGGAAGATTGCTTCAAGCACAAATTTAATTTTGAAATTTCCAAAGAATACATTGCTGCCAAAAAAATTCTCAATTATTTTAAGACGGGATTTAGTTTTAATGTCGGACTTGAAGGATATAGCACCTCCTCATTGCAGAGGTTGCTTAGTGCTGCACTGGAGTGTCAGCCTTAACGGTAAGTCCCAACATGGTGCTTGAACCCATAACTTTCTGAACCAGATGTGAGAATGCTACCAACTGAAACTTTGTCTCATGGAGGGAGAGGTACTCAATCCAAATGTTCAATCAGACAACTAGATGTTTGGTGTTGGCCAAATGGAGAGCAGGATTAGAGATATCGTACAGATGTCTAGCTCACTGTTTTTCTCCTGGTTGAAAGGATCTGCAGTTATCAGAACAGAAAGGGGGCTAATATTTTTGTGTTTGTTTAGAGTTTGATATAATTTTCTGGACATGTGACATTTTAATCTCTAAATAATACAGTTCCTCTTTTCTTTTCCAGGTTAATCTACAGTACAGTATGTTCCTTGGACAAACTTGAAGAGAGCTGGAGAAAATGGGACATATGATTCATGAAGCTACTGTGTTTACTAATGGTCACTCATATATGCTTGCCATTTAAAAAATCTAAACCGGATATGTAAGGGAATGATATTTGTTGACGTGGACTCAAAGACTTACTGGGTGTGTATCAATAGAATTTAAAAATCAAAGGCAAAATCATGTGGCGATTGCTTACCCTGAAGTTTGGTCGCATGTATCGTTGCCTGAAGTTCCTGTTTGTGGTGAGTCTTTTGGTTTTTATGTTGATGAATACGCATTCATTGTTTGCCTCATTTCAAAAGAATGAGCTTGTGGATCGTCGTTTCATCCACCTCAATAAATGCCCAGCCTGCTTTGGTACTAGCTGGTGTCGTAAGTTTATGAATGGCCAAATTAACTTTGAGGCCTGGGGTCGTTTGCGATTCCTAGACTTCTTGAATGTAAAAAATGTCTACTTTGCTCAGTACGGAGAACCACGAGAAGGTACAAGACGCATTGTTCTCAAGCGATTGGGTTCAAACCAGGAACTGGCTGAGATGGACCAAAAGCTGTGCAAACGGGCTACAGGCCGTCCACGTTGTGATGTTACACAGGCAATTTACAAGACTCAGTTTGCTCGTTTAAATGGAGATGTCCGGTTACTAACCCCAGATGTTGTGGAAGGATGGTCAGATTTAGTGCATTGTCCATCACAAAGACTCCTCGATCGAATAGTGCGCAGATATGCTGAAACTAAGGATTCTGGCAGCTTTTTACTGAAGAATTTAAAAGACTCTGAACGGATGCAGCTGCTGTTGACACTGTCTTTTAATCCAGAGCCTCTTGTTCTGCAGGTATGTTAGATGGGAACAGTAGACTTGCCAAAGTAGACTGTTCACGTAAGTATTTTTTGGAACCTGTTTAATCTATTTTTCCAAGTGAACCTTTTTTAAATCCTTGATCGTAATACTATGATATGTATGTATTGGTGGGTATGCACCAGTTACATGTGTATGTAATTCTGTTCAGGAGTTAAGGTTGGACCATAAAAAGCAAAATAAAAATTGGTCATTTGAAATTGTTTGATACTTGGTGCTTTCAATTATATAGTTATTTTTTAAACTCGCTGGGCAAGCATTTTTTTTGTTGTAGATGAGTGATAACACAAAATAATATGCGTGCATTACTTGCAAAGCTTGGAATATGGCAGGGAGGATCATGGCAGGGATGTGGGATAAAAGGACAGTTGAGGGCCAAACATTACGCCAAGATTCTGGACTGGCTCAATAAGGTGCATCCATGGATGTTGATGCTGTCAGTGCCTGAGGTGTGGAGGTGCTGACAGGAGCCAATCAGAAGGACCTCTGTCTTGTTGACATTCAACTAGAGAAAGTTAGCTCTCATCCAGGATGTCTGACAGACATTCTATCAGGACAGCGATAGTCCTGAAATCGAAAGTAGAGGCAGAGAGAGAGAGAGTTCGGTGTCATCTGCAAACATGTGGCAGTTGGCCCCATGTCTGCGGATGATGTCTCCCAAGAGGGAGCATGTACATCTTAAAAGGGAGAGGACCAAGGACAGATCCCCGAGGAATGCCGTACGAGAATTTGCGGGGGCTGGATGGTGTGAGAGGTAGGATCTGAACCACTCAAGACAGAACCATGAAGGTTGAAATGAGAGGAGAGGCGGTGAAGGAGGATAGAGTGGTCAATGGTATCAAAGGCAGCAGAGAGATCAAGGAGGACGAGGAGTCAGGGAGCCCTAGTCACAGGTGAAAAAAGTGTCATTTGTCACTTTCTGGTAGAAATCTAAACGATTCATAGTGAAAGGCACCAGTGCTGACAAAGAAATATTTGTTAATTAAGCAATGAACTCATGATTCACCTCCTTTCTACTCCAATTATTTAAAATTATACTTTGTAAAGAACTTGTCTCTAAGTATAGTTTATTTACTGCTAGCCAATAGTATTATTACACTTATCTACATGTCTTTCCCAATGGCTCCGTTCTGTTCCTATTTTTCTTTTTCATTTCAATGTCCACCTCCTTCCAACCCTTTTTTCCATCCAATAACTCTGCTTGAAAGTGTACATCATGTAGATGAGGTCAGTTTTAGGCTCGACTGTGCTGACACCCTGCCACTATTAAATAATGCTTAACACTTACTGGATGAACTTACAAGAATGGTAACTTAGACAATTTACGGAACGGTGATCTGTGGCTGTGAAACTGTACCTCATTATCAGTTAGTAAGGTTGTAAGTTTTCTTTAAACTAATTATATAAGCCTAACACTGCTCCTATTTTTAGTTTAATTTGCGTAATGGGTGTAGAATGGTTCAGCGTTCTTTAGTTTTTTTCTGAATGTAATCTATTGTCAAGCATTACACAGAAATATGTGGTTATGAAACACTGGTTATGACAGGTTACACGTTCAAATGTCCCTCGCTGCCTGTCACTTGAAGTTGTATTCTTTGTAAGATTCATCACTACTCAACAAACGTTTGGGGGTACAAAAGTGTAGTCTCAGGACTTTTCTGACTTGTTGGCAAGAAAGTAATGAATTTGTAATACGACTTCGAGAAATATACTGGAATTGCTGAAGTTGTTAAATGAGCACAGTGTATACCACAAATTGTACACTGAAACCAGAGATGGACAACTATAAATTTATATAAATTTATTGTTTGCTTTATTTTACAAATGTTTGAAATCTTATTTATGGTAAAATTAACTGTGGTCACTTAACTTGTTAAGGCCATGACCTATTCAGAATGAGAAGTCAGTTTCTCTTTTTGTCCTGGCCAACAGTCCCCCAAATATAATTGGCAGTTTGAGATATGAATAGATATAGATAGTAATGTTAAGAGTGATAGATTCTTGAATGATTATTGTGATTTCAGTGATGCATGAATGTTGGGCTGATTTGCACTCATGTGCCCAATTCTGGTTTCAATTGCACCCTGTGTGGGAGGACCTGATGGCAGCCTGAAGATTATCAGTACAGTGACCATACTTGCAAAGAGCTGATCAATTTTGAATCCTTTATGTGTCTGTGGCTTATGTAAATCAATGCTGTGTTTGTTTGGGATACCAATTCATCTTTGAAAATAATTAATATTTTTAAGTTGAGACAAAGAGTGACCAAGCTGAATTCATTTATTTTCTATCTTGCACAGTGGACTTCATTCCTGACTACAAATTTGTCAGACTTTCCACATTTTTGTTCATGTGTTAATTAACATTCATTGCATGTTGCACTGCCTAATGTATAGTGTTATTTGGATCAATGCCCAGACTCGATACTGACGTCAGCTTAATGCGTATCTTTACAATATCTGCTATGACAGAATAGAATTAAAAGTTTAGAATCTAAGCTAAATACCTGGACCAATAATATGTTTCTTGTCGTCCCTGGTAAAATAAAATAAACCAATTGTTCCAGATTTTCTTTTTGTCAAGTTGGTTCAATCGGAAATTCAGTTTTCTTGAGAAATTTGCTATATAGTAAATTTAAGGAATCAAGGTGAATATCTAGGGCCCACAGTACAGTGTACCACCATGATTAACAAGAGTGTAGAGCATACATGGTAGATAAAGAAGTAGTGATTAAGTGATGCCCAACTTAGCTTTTAAAAATGGTTTGTATTGTAAAAGGTAAGACAGAACGTTATAGAAGGCCCTCACTACGAGTAAGTTCATAGGAGTCCATACCATGAATTTTTATTCCAACAATGAGGTACGTGGGCAAGAAGAATGTTAGGACAACGCATTTAGAGGTTGCGAGGGAAATGAAATGGTAACCATCACATTGATTAAAATAGAAAAGAATAATGGAGAGAAGATGTAGATGCGAGATGAGTAAAAGATCACATATTGGCTTTGTATCTTTTTTAGGATTGTTAAAGGGGGTAAAGAGCACTTCCTCAGATATTTATCTTTGAAGGGCTTGGCTTATGCAAAGAGGTGTGTGAGGGGCGGGGGTAGGATTGGGAAGATTTGATTTGTAAACTAAATGTCTAAGGTAGTTTTAATAATGGGAACGATGTGGGAATTCCATTTGAGATTAAGAATTTGTTTAGGCCAAGAGTGTCAACTGATGAATAAGGAATATATGTTAAGCCGTTTATGTGGTTATTGGGGTTAGATTACCAAGAAAAGCAAGGAAACCGTCCTTGAAGAATTGAAAAATTGGATTTTCTTTGTTGTATTAAAAAAATGCATAAGTTCAGTCTTTGCAATGTGACACAAATGGGGGTTATGTGCACTTAACTAATGTAATCGAAGGAAGTTTGAGTGTAGAGTAGAATTATTACAGATAGTGTGGATAAGTGGAGGAGGCCCTTCATAAGGCACAGCATGAGGAATAAGACTCTTAGGAGGTACCTGGGAAATCTACTTGATCATTGTTCTCATTTTAGGGACATCTAATGTTGCTGCTGGACCAGAGGGCATATTGATTTACATATGAATTATTGAATATCTGCAATTGGGGTAGCACAGTCTGAAACCTAATATTCAGAAGCTATTTCAAAAAGTTGTCTCCTTTATCAATTTAGTTGGTATTTTGGAGATGTCTGTAAAAAAAAACATCTTCTACTTGATTTTTTCGACCTTGTGTCTCCATACGGGCTTGCCGGCAGTGCACACTTCTGGTAAATCAATGCGACCCTTTTGGGATTCACTTAGATTCATGAAATGAAACTTCCCTTCCCAAATCTAGCACAAGATGTGTGAGTCATCAGAAGCGGTTAAAAAAGAAGCTAAACAATGTATGTTGATCTTACTGCCTCCCCCTCCCTCCAATGGAGTTTAAATATTTATTTTTAAGTCCATTTCCAATTCTGGTTTGTTAGTTCTACAGCAGTATCATTTAATAGATTCACAACTGAAATTCCACTTCCTAGGTTACACTATGAAGTGCATTGGGGCACACCTTTAACCTGTTTGACTGAAGTAATTGTTATGTTTGAGATCTAATGGTGAACTTTGGGAACACGGGAGGGATTATGAGAAGCGTAATGATACCCACCTTGATAAAAGTTATTGACTTTTGAAAATTTGTGGTGGGAAACCTTTTACTTTGTGGAATTTTATACTCTGTGGATTGTAATTAACTGCATCTTAAATGACTGACTGTTTCATTGCCTATATTATATAGCCTCATTTCTTTATTTGTGGTTGTTTTAAATCAAGACTGCCATGTATTTTTGTTCTGCTAATTAACAGTTCAGTGAAAATTCTGACCATTATTCCAGCATGGCATGCAATTTTTTTTTTTTTTTTCATACTGCTAAAGACATAATTTAACATTCTTCAAAAATATTTTGATTATCTGATTTGCTTAACTAGCTTTATCCCCATTATATGGTAAGTCTTGAGGATTGTCGTAACTGGTCAGTTTAGATTCTGACCTTTTTAAGATCAAAATTGTTGTGGATTTGTGATGTTTCAGTCATCTTCAAAAGTACCTAAACATCAAAGTATTTATTTTCCTTTGGACCAAAAGCCTGAGTGTGTAACTAGATTTTGAAATGAAGCAAAACACGCTTTAATCGAGAGATAAAACCCAAGTCATCGTGGATTAGAGTGTACTTTGTGGGATTGGAAGCTTAACCAGAAGCTTGTTCAGATCGTACCTCTCACACTGCCTCCACTTCATCTCCACAAATGGTTTCTCCTCTCGCCTGTCGTGTGCAGTGTTCCTCAGGGCTCTTTCCTTGGTTCCCTCCTCTTCATTATCTACATACTCCTTAGTGACATCATCCGCAGACATGAGGTCAACTTCCACACGTATGTGGGTGACACCCAGCTGTACCTCTCTGCCTTCACCCTGAACTCCAGAACCACTGCTG